ACATTCAATGTTTTATAATTTTAAGCAAATTTTAATTATGCAAATTAAAAATTGTGAAACATAAAATATACTGGTAAAGTCTTACTATATGCATAGTTTCCAAGCATGTGAATTCTCCACACAAACTTCTAAATCATCAAGAATCACATACTCCCACAGCTGACAAGGCCAGTGAATTAGTTATGTTCATGTTATTGCTACGCAACTTTAGGGGTTGAGAGAAATGCCCACCCACCATTAACAGTCTCAGTCTTGAATGCATTAAAACCTTTGGGAAGTCATTTCTCACATAAAGTTTGAGCCCTCCTTTCACAGATCACACAATCTGTGGCCTAGGTCATTACAACCTACCTAAGATCAACCTTCTATACTCCATCTCCATATAAATATGAACCACTGTCCAATAGCAAATTATTCCTTAGGACCATAGGGATTTTAGATCATATACGGTGATGTGACATGAAACCAAAGTGTTAATTTACTTTGATCAGAATTCTCACATTATCCAGGCATTTCACGTACAACAGACTGAATGTTTTTACAAGTGCCTGAACTGATCACAGATTATTATCTCATGTCAGCAGAGAGGGAGAGAAGAGAGGGAGAAAGAAAGAGGATGCTTTTGGAGTTTGAAGACATTCTCCTATTCCTGCCACCTTCCTTCCTCCCAACACCCAACCCAGTCTTTGGTTAAGCCAATTTTGACACTTTCTGCCTTATTGGGAACCCAAGCTAAGGTACATAGCAGTCAGAACAAAATGTGACACAAGTCCAAGAGAATATCTTCTGCAAAGAACAATTAATTGGAGTGGGGTCTGTAATTTGAAAGCCGTAGGTCAGCCTGGAACATTGTACAATGTAGCTGTTAAATCCATTACCCAAGCCCACATTTTTGAAGGCTAGGCCTCCAGTTCCAACACTGCAAAAGCTAAAGAGTGTGGCAAAGCCTCTCCCTGCTTAAGCATCTCCACATTGGTCTAAAATTAAATTCTAATGGAAATCTCTGAGAACTGCTGAAAGTCTTTGGTTATGGTGAAACATGTAAAATTATTGCAATCGACTAAACAATTAACCTATTTTTCCCCAAAAGCACAGGAAAAATATTCACACACACACAAGTCTCTGAGGGCTCTCGATAAAATGAAAAAGCTTCCTGAATAATAGAGGTTATATTTTTTAAAACTATAGATCTAAACAGCTATTTTGTGTGTCTGTGTGTGTGAATGGTTAGTAGGTTTGCTGAGCAAGGTATAAATTTGTGATTATCTTCAAAGGAATTTATACTAATGTTGTAATGGGCATAAAGAAAATAGAAATGTGCCATGTGAATTCAGCTGAACATGCAGTGGATTCCATAAAGAAAAATGTTTTCTTTATGTCATTAATAGAAAATGGTATTCATGGTATTTTAAAAAGCCTTTTCTTTACTAATGGAGTCATATACTACAGATTCTAATTTTTTACATTTATGACTTTCTCTAGAGTATTTTTAATATCCTGTGTCTAAAATGTAAGTTAGAAACTAAAGTGTGAACAGAAGAAATAAGGAGAAACAAGAGAGAAAGAATGGAGGGAACGGTGACATCCTACAGATAGTGTTTATTCTGAAGTTTAGCCAGTCAATATAACTGGGCAACAATAGCATGATATAGTTCCCTTGGGCATAGAATTTTGTTGGCAAACCCATTCTAGAACTTGCCTCACAGGCCCCAGTGAGCTTCAAACTGATGTTCTTTATAGCTATATCAATGTGCTTAATTTAGGTTGGAGTTTGGTAAGGATCTATTCACAAGTTTTCATGAATCTCTTTCAAAGATCCATAAACCCTTGAAATTGCATAGAAATATTTTTGTGACTATCCATATGTGCACTTATTTTTCTGGAGAAAGGGTCAGTAGATTTAATCAGATTCACAAAAGTATTCAAAGATCCTTATATCCAAAAAAATAGGCTAAGAACCACTTCGTTAGTTCATTACTGATTATTTGATACCATTTTCTTTTCTTGGAAACAAAGGCAATGTGTGTGTGTGTGTGTGTGTGTGTGTGTGTGTGTGTGTGTGTGTGTGTGTCTCCTGACAGAAAGACAATGTTACCATATACTGGCAGGCTAAATTTACACAAAGCATGGTATTTTTAGATATAGCCTGATTCTCTACGTTTCATAACTAAGATATTCAGAAGTGCTTTTGTATTAGGCTATAAGGGCTTTTATTGTCTATAGAATAAATCTCCATGTATTATCACTGTAGGAAATGGGTGAGAATGTGGAGTCCATATATATTCAGTATTTATGCAAAGGGAGATGATACTTTGATACTTTATCCAATTTTTAGCACTGGATTATAATATAATAATAATAGTAATATAAATTTATATATTTGTTTTCATGTTTGAATTGGTAACAGCTTCATTCTGAAATTAGGATATTTAATCATCTAAAATGTTTCTGTATTTCTAGGGGTTACAACATTTTGGTACATTGAGAAATACATTGTTATGAGATCCTTTGTTTATTGCTCTCAATGTATCCTATGTAAATTGATCCTTTGCACCTACATATCCTCTCAAAGGGAAGAGAGGTTTCCAGCCATCTCGCCTATTGTCTGGTAGATTCTAGATAACTGAAACATTCTAGAAGGCCCATTCTAGGACTTCTTTCTCCATGAGAACTTTAAGTGGATCACAGCTGGTCTGTGAGTTGAAGTAAAGATCCCACTGACAGAACCAGTGCTCAAGATCAGAACTTGGCAAAGGCTTCTCTTGGAAGATCCTAGAATGAGTCTAAACATATCATTAGGTATAAAAAACAGCAGGTATGGCATATAATTATTCCTTGACATGAAGCAATGTGGTAGCATGTGCTAAACCAAGGCAAAGGGAAAAATTAAATAGCATAGTACTTTGGCAAATACCTCATAAAATAATTTTAAACATTGGAAAAGAGACTCTTTTTTAAGGCATTAAAATAAAAACCCGGGGCGCCTGGGTGGCTCAGCCAGTTAAACATCTGACTCTTGATTCTGGCTCAGCTCATCATCTCACCATTTGTGAGTCTGAGCCCCACATTGGGCTTTATACTGACAGCACTGAGCCTCCTTGGGATTCTCTTTCTCCCTCCCTCTCTGCCCCTCCCCTCCATGCTCTGAAAATAAAGAAATAAACTTTAAAAAACATACAAACCCATAAGGGGGTGGATATTTCTTATGTCAGCAAGTTCTCCTCCAAAAGAAGTGTGCTGTATTAACATTTCAAGTTAGCCCTTAATCTTCAAAGTGCCTTTCAGTAGGAAGTTACTTACTCCTCCTCATCAGCAGTGAGGAAAATGTCTCCTCTACAGACACGTAAATAGTTTTAAAGTTTTAAAGTGCCCTTTTGTCTCATCGTTAAGGGCCTTTTGGTCAAAAGCATAATCTTTTGCTTCCCTCTCCTTGGATTTGAAGGAGTAATTCTCAAAAGTTCTCCATCCACAGAAGAATCAGATGGGACCATGGGTTATCCCTCCCTCCTCATACCCTCTGGAGCACAAAAAGAAATTTGGGGACAACAATTGTCATTTTCTTACAGTTTTTAAATGTTGATATAAAAATGGCACCCATTTTTGTGTAACTGACATTTTGGACATTTCCTTTAAGATGAAAATCAAACCATGAAAAACACTGACTTAGAAAAGAGAAGGCCCCAGGACACTGATACACTTTAGAAGTATAATAGGTCACACAAGTCAAATACAGTCTCTTATTAATGGAGCAAGGAACCAAACCTCAAACTATTATTTCTCACAGGGCAGCAGTTTCTTGATAAAAGAAAAAAAAAACATAGCAGGCAGGAGAAGGGGGGAAATGGAGATGATTGAAGGCTTTTTTTAGTTCATATTTACAGAAGTGGCACAGAATCTTGATTATTTCTTTTTTAAGATAACTGCTCTGTACAAAACCATCTCATTTTTATGGTACTGCTCAATTCCTTAACTATTCTGGGAAGGTAAAGTGAGAAAATATAGTGTGATACCAAAATGAGCAAAAGAAGTTATTCAATGAACAATGATGGCACTTGAGAGAACTCTTGAAAATGAACTTCAAATCTTTTTCATCATGTCTCTCATGGGCATTCATTTTTAATACTTCTCTTTAAAATGTCAAGTTGAACCATATGTGAGTGCTGATGTTAGGGCACTTTTTACATCTTATAGCTCACCGATAATAGCTTAAATACTTTAGAAAAAGTCTGTGACACGTCCCCCCACACACACACACCCCTGAATTCAACTGAATTCAACAAATGTTTCCAGACGACCCATCATGAGCCTGGCACCTTGCTCGGTGGCTAAGGACAAAGCAGTAGCAGATGGCAGATGATATGTCTCCTGGGTACTTTATTGTGACTGTTACTGTATTAAGAATCAATAATCAAGCTTATCATTTATGGTCAGACATAGATAGACCCCTAATGTAGCTAGTAGTTAACGCAACAAGTGAAAATGTGCCTCCAGCTGATTTTCATTTGTTGAGTCTTCAATAAAGAGAACCATTCAGGCATTTTCTTAGTGCCTCTGATGACTTCAGGGATCTGGCCTGTTTTAAATTCCCATTTTTCACGTAGGAAACTGAACAACTGGGTACATATGAGACTTGCTTAAGGTCACATTTCACTTCCAATCGTCTGGTTGCTGGCTCAGTGTTTCATCTACTAACCGATTCCTTTCTCTCCCTCCTCGCCCTATGCACCCCCTCCTATAAACGTATGGCAATCAGTGCCTTCACTGACCCCAGCATCCCAGGAGCTCTGGGAAGAGGGCAAAGCCAAACAGACCCCCTGGTGGGAAGCTTCTGCTACAGCAGTCTGTAAAAATTTTGCTCCGTATTTTATCCCTTCATCTGTTATCTCCCCCGGGCTCAGTAATTTTAGTTTGTGCTTTTTGTTTCTCTTTTTGTTTCTTTGGTTTGCTGGCTTTGTGTTCTTTTCTCTTTTTTTTCCTTTTCTTTTCCTTTTTTAATGCAGGAATCGGTCAAGGCGTTCCGGTGGTGGCACTCATTGTGGAAGGAGGACCCAATGTGATCTCCATTGTCTTGGAGTACCTTCGAGACACCCCTCCCGTGCCAGTTGTTGTCTGCGATGGGAGTGGACGGGCATCTGACATCCTGGCCTTTGGGCATAAATATTCAGAAGAAGGCGGGTAGGTGATGAGTATGAAGCCTATGTTCCAAACTTGGAAAGATGGTATTAGTCGATTAAGATGTTTGGTTTGGGAAGGTGGTGGGGGAAGAGCAGGGGAACGTATTCTAAATGTCCTGGGAACTGAGACATTCCATGAAATCTCCACTGGACTAGCCCAATAAAGAAGACAAAGGGAAAGGAAGGGTCATAGGACTTGGTAGCCTTTCTCTTCTATTGATTTCTTCTCTCTTTTGCCCCTCTCACTAAGGAGAAACAGGAACTGGTTTTTCACACACACGGCACAGCTAACCTGGACCATATAGGTCCGGTTAGTACCTCGGGAAAAGCTGGGATGTGCAGCCTCCAGGCTCAGCCTCCGAACACCAGCTTCGCCAGACTCCTGCGTGTTCACAAAGGCGACACCTTAATGAAAACTTCCGGTGGCCTGTGCTGTCAGATCCCTGTAGATTGGCTCAGAAAGCAGAGTCTGTAAACACTCTGTTCCTCGTTAAGCCCCTCTGGACTCCCCGCCACCACGAACTTTCCTTGGTCTGTCTACCCCCTAATGCTACTCTCAACAGTCCACAACCCCCACCCCCCACCGCAAGGAAGACTTCCCTCCACAGCCTTCCCTGTCAATCTGAGGTCCCACCCAGGGAATGGTGACATCCAAGCAGTCTTGGATATTATTAAAGTGACTCGCCCCAAGGTATAAATGGGTTTAAGGAGGAAAACTCAGGGGGGCATCACTGGATTTTTATTTCATTCAAATTTTTAACGTTTTTATTTATTTAAGTAATCTCCATACCCAACGTGGGGCTCAAACCCATGACCCCGAGATTAAGAATCACATACCCTTCTGACAGAGCCAGCCAGGCGCCCCTAAGTCATTGAATTTTTAAATAAGGAACTTGCTAACCGAAACAATTCTCCTAACACATGAAACTGGTGGGCGAAAGGAGCCCCAAAGGAGATGGGGTCTTTTGTTCATCCCTTTTACAAACATACATCGAGTGTCTACTGGGTGCCACACACAGAGATGGGAAAAAAGAATAACAACTCTTCCTGCCATCAAAGAGCTCATAGTAAGTCTAGTAAGTAGATAAGCATGTAATGATTAGTAGTAAGTGACTGGCGAGCTTGGCTGCTCAGGACACTCCCTTCTCCACCTGTCTGCCACGTAGCCTTCCTTACAACAGGCTCCTCCTGGCAGCCCAGTAGTATGTTTTCTCTCCCATTCCTTTCCTTGTCTTTGCCCGAGGCCCAGTAGTGCTCCAGGTGAGCGTTAACCCAGCCCCCTTCCCTGATAAGTGTGTGAGCCTAAATATGGGAAAGAAAGGAGACACACGTAGGAGAGTCACAGGCTTCCCACTAACGTTGCAAACACTGACAGTGATTTGGGGGCGCCTTAAAGCTTCTGATGTGAAAAAGAAAAAAAAAACAATATTCATGAGCATGAAGTTGGAGTTTGCTTCCTGGCAAATTTAAATTCTGTCTTCTCCTTTCATTGTAAATATTGGTCCATTTTATAGCTAAGAAACTAAAAAGAACATTTGCCTGAACACCTCCACGTCTGTTACCAACCAGAATTCAGGATCCTCAACTGTGCTTTGCTTTTATTAAAAATGTAGCCATCGTTCTCATTGACTTAAATATAGCAACGTGTTTCTTTTTCAGAAAGAACTAAAGACTTTATACAGTTTTTAGCTTCCGCTAACTTTTTTTCTTCCTAATGCTTGCAATTATTTTATTGTATTTCCACAAAGTAAATGCAAGTTTGCATTCAGAAGGCACATTTCCCTTTCAGAAAATTCATGGAAGAGTGAGCTGTTCATCCTAACATTTCAGGTTTTTAAAGTCTGTACACAATGAAGGTCTGGACCCAGGGCCTACTTTTTGCCATTGTCATGGGTTATATAGTGTGAAAACGTTACAGTTTTTGATAAGTTGCTCTTCCTGATTCTGTTTTATATGTAGGGGAAATGTTACACATTTTAGACCTGGGGGAGTGGAACTCTGTATTTTTTAACCTAGGGGACGGATACACAGAGCAATTACGTGGTTTCCCAAGGTCGCATAGCCCACGATCCCAGGTCAGGATTCTTTCTGCTCTCTTAAAAAGTTCACTGAAATGGATTTTTGTGGCCTGTGCCTTGGTTGTTTCTTATATATTACCTCAACGGCACCGTCTCTTAAGTAACTTAAGTTCCCTTCAGCTTCCCCTTTACATTAGAATTTCCTAATTTTTTGTATTATTGCATGTATCCCCAAAGATAAAATCAATGCATTCCTAGGTGTAAACCTACTTGTTGGTCCAAGCCGACCAACCCTACAACACGGGGATTCTTTTTTTCCCCCTGACCCAGATCCAAATTAGGAGGCAGAAATACCATGCCTTTTTAACTTTAATTGGAAATTTTAGTTTTAAAACCAAAGTTTAGTTTTAGTTCTGATTATTTTATGACCAAAATATGCAAAAGCATAATCTATATGGGATCTATGCAAACATGTAAACCATGGTTGATTATCAAAGAGTATGAAGTCATGCACATAACCTGCGTGGAGATAAAGAATTAAGATATGATTTCATACCTTGGGAATTATTAAGATTAAAACTTAAAAAATTTTAAGAACCGTTTAGAAACACTTATTAAGAAAATAGAAGCTTCAAGAGAAGCTTTGTATTTGCCAATCCAAATATATAGATCTGTATTTATTTTATATGGTGTTATAATAAATGTATGCTCTTGCTCCAGGAAGGCAATATAAATTTATCATGATCAAATGAATTCAGATGTTTGTCTGTGTCATCTGAATAACTGCCAGAATCATGTTTATTTAGCTTGATAAAAAGTAGTCTGGCCACACATATGCAACCAATTTAAAAAGAACATTTCCAAGGGCTCCTGAGTGGCTCAGTCGGTTAAGCATTCAACTTTAGCTCAGTCATCATCTCATGGTTCATGAGTTCAAGCCCCATGTCAGGCTCTGTGCTGACAGCTCAGAGCCTGGAGCCCGCTTTGGACTCTGTGTCTCCCTCTCTCTCTGCCCCACTCCCACTTGCACTCTGTTTCTCTCTGTCTCTCAAAAACGAATAAATGTTAGAAAAAGTTAAAAAAAAAAAAAACATTTCCAAAGAACATTATTTTGCAGTAGTGTGTTTGCTTTATGCTAAAAAGAAAAAGGAGAGATAGAATCCCAAGCAGGCTCTGCACCATCAATGTAGATGTGGGGCTCAAACTCACAAACTGTGAGATCATGACCTGAGCCCAGACCAAGAGTCAGAAGCTTAACTGACTGTGCCATCCAGGTGCCCCTTTGGTGATTTAAATATGATGTAAGCATTTTTAAACTCATTTATAGATTGTTAAATCACACAGGTCCAAGGACTGTAAATGTGTATATTTAGCTATAAAGCTTTTCACTTTATAATCTTAAAGGAGTGAATGAAATTTACACACCTTGTATTTTAACTTTTATGAACTTGGTATTTTGCCCTTAAATTCCCTATTGTTAACCAACTTCTAAGAATATGAATTTGAAAGGTCATCACTTAGGAAGCAAATTGGAATTGGCAAAACTAACTTGTGTCGATGAGATTACTTGAGGTAAAGGAAGACAGAGCGTATCCATCCCAAAGTAAATGGGTTTGGATACACTAGGAGGGCAACTGCAATTGAATTCATTTGCCTTCTTCTCCCTCTCTGCCCTGCAGCAGGTGCTACCAGAAAGAAATGGCCAAACTCTCTTTTTCCCTTAATGTCGAACTAGATCATCCTATTTCTCATCTGTCATAGTTTTAAAATGAGTCACAACTCACTTTCCCGGACTAATTTCATTCCATAAAAATATTATCAAATTTTTCTTTTCTGAATCACAACTGACTAAACACTGTCAACAAACAGATTGATGCTACCCAAGTGGCATTAGATTCACTTACCTAAGTTTTCAAATAGGAAGATTCCACATTTTGCTGTGTTGAGGAAGCAAGCTGACCAACTTTGCTTACAGTCAGAACACCTTTCAGGTGGTAGCTGCCTGCAGTTAAAGTCAGAGATTAGTTTGCTTGGAAAGTAACTAAGTCTCAGGTTGCAGAGAAATATGGTGTAGCTCCTCATTTATCAGCCATTGAGAAAGTGCCACACAGATGAAAGATGTCAGCGTGAAAAAGGCATCCCGAACGAATGTGTACTCTAAGGTGATGCTCCTCATTTATCTGGATTTTATTACTAAGTCTTACATTTATTTTGGTGTCTTCTTCCTGAAAATAATTATGTGGACTTACCATTTTCAGAGAGCCTAGGACAAGAAGTAGAGCTTGTGGTAACAGAAAGCCTTAAAGCTCTTACATAGACTGTTGATAACTCTGGGGATGGCACCAAGGGGCAGACGCCAATAGACTGTTCACATTCGTATTTGTCTGGAATTTGTATTAGATATCATGGAGAAACACTGAGCCACTAATGGCTTGTTCTTGAGGAAGAGAATAGATAATATATTTCAAGGAAAAAAATCTGATTTTCCTGTTTAAAGGGGACTTAATAAAGATCCCTTTATTTTCTGATTAGCTGAGGTAAAGGCATAAATGGAACACAAAGTAGAGATGAGAAAGGAAAAATCCATTGCATGGCTTCAAATTATATCACTGTGTCCTAGCACGGATGTAACGAAAGTTTGCTTCTCTCCAAATATACATCAAAGTGACCAAAGTCAGGAGGAAGTCACCAGAAAACTAGCCATTTTAGAAATCCAGGTGCAGTCTGTATTCCCTAGGGCATATCACTCCATGCAGTGGTTACTAATGTTTTCTTCAGCTCGAGAGATTTCCATCTAAGGCTGAAGGATGTCACAGCCCTATCATTTTTCTCTATAAGATCTGCTGAAAGGAAGTAATTGATCTCAGTAGTCTGTATCCCAATATGATTTAGACATAATTGGAATGTCAAGTGAGAAAGAAGGAAACAAATATCAAGCATGCTGACTTCCAGTGTCTATTTTAGTTTCCATTAATTTCATCTT